ACTACTACTACTACTACTACTACTACTACTTACTACTACTTACTACTACACTACTACACTACTACACTACTACTTACTACTACTACTACTACTACTACTACTACTACTACTACTACTACTACTACTACTACTACTACTACTACTACTACTACTACTACTACTACTACTCCGACTACTACTACTACTACCACTACGCGCCAGCACCCGGTTGCGCCAGCATTGTTTCTTATGTTGTGGGAGGGCGGAACGTGTCCTTTGTTCCTTCCAACATGGCCAGTCTTGTCGTCGACGATGCGAAATGCGTGGCGGGAATGAGACGCGGCGCACATCCCGGGCGGACGTCAATGCGGTGTCCTGGGGTTTCCCCCACTCGCACTGAAATGCCCGCGCAGCCCCCCAGTTCTGCCACCACTGTTTCTTATGTTGTGGGAGGGCGGGTGGGAATGGGCATGCCATGCTTGACTCGCTCGAGTTGGCTAGCTTGATGCGAACACTACCCCTACCCCCACGATTTCTGAGGGGGAGGGTGGGGTTCACTTCGCTCGGGAGCTCCCGAGCGAAGCGAACCCCACCCTCCCTCTCAGAAATCGTCGGGGGGTAGGGGCAGGGTTCGCATGTGGCCCCCTACGCGAGGCGACGCCGAGGTGGTGCTCGAGGCGGTGAGGCGCCGGCGCGCGCTCGCGCGCGTCACCGCCCAGCGGACGTGCTCCTCGCGCCACCGCCGCCACGCACCGCCGCCGCCGCCGTCGTCGTCGTCGCCGTTCTCGTCGTCGTTGGCGGCCGCGGAGGAGGAGGAGGAGGAGGAGGAGGAGCAGGAGGAGGAGCAGGAGGAGGAGCAGGAGGAGGAGCAGGAGGAGGAGCAGGAGGAGGAGGAGGAGGAGGAGGAAAAGGAGGAGGAGGAGGAGGAGGAGGAGGGGGAGCAGCAGGAGGGAGGAGCGCGTGACGAGGGGCGGCGTGGGGGTATCACGGGGGAGGAGGGGAGCAGGAGGGTGCAGAGGGCGAGGAGGAGCACGCGGGGCGGTGGGAGGGTGCGGGGGGGGGGAGAGGGACAGAAGGGGCAGGAAGGGCCCGGGGGGAGGGGGAGGGAGCATGAGTGGGGGAGGAGGAGCACGGAGGAAGGGAGTGGGACCAGGAGGGGTTGAAGGAAATACGTGGCCAGTTTGGCTCAAGTCCGGGCGCGCGGGAGGCCCGGTCCCCCATGCCCGACCTCGGCCCGGGAAACGGGGGCCTCCCCGCGCGCGGGGCAAGTCGGGCACGTCCCTCTGCAGGAGGAGCAGTCAAGAATGGCAAACAGAAACAGCATGGCCTGGGGACGAATCTTTTTAATCGCTTTTGCTCTACGTTCTGACTCGTTCATGGATGATATGCTCATGCTTGATGTACGTTCTAACGTTATTCTCCCATATTCTAAGATAGGGGTACTTGTTATGTCTTTGACGCCGCCGACTCCAGAGAACAAAAACATACCCAGAACACAGACTTACTCATGCACAGACTTACTCATACTCAGACTTACTCATACCCAGACAAACTCATACACAGACTTACTCATACTCAGACTTACTCATACCCAGACTTACTCATACACAGACTTACTCATACTCAGACTTACTCATACTCAGACCTACTCATACTCAGACTTTCTCACAGCCAGACGTACACATACATAGACTTACTCATACACAGACTTACTCATACTCAGGCTCACTCATACCCGGATGTACTCATATACAGACTTACTCACACTCAGACCTACACATATTCAGACCTTCTCATAGTCTTAGTTTCTCAACACACGGCAGATGTTGAGGATGTCGCAGGCGGGGCGCTGGCTTCAGCACCCCTACGGGGCGCCGCCAGGGGTGTTCTCACGGGCCCGTTCGCGGCCAGTTTGTGAGGATGTCTCAGGCGGTTTCCTTGTTTTCATGCCCAACATCCTTTGCTTTCAGAGAAGATTGTGAGGATGTCTCAGGCGGGGCGCTGGCTTCAGCACCCCTAAGGGGAGCCGCCAGGGGTGTTCTCACGGGCCCGTTCGCGGCCAGTTTGTGGGGATGTCTCAGGTGGTTTCTTCGTATGCCCAACATCCTTTGCTTTCAGAGCAGATTGTGAGGATGTCTCAGGCGGGGCGCTGGTTTCAGCACCCCTAAGGGGCGCCGCCAGGGGTGTTCTCACGGGCCCGTTCGCGGCCAGCATGTGAGGATGTCTCAGGCGGTTTCCTCGTTTTCATGCCCAGCATCCTTTGTTTTCAGAGCAGATTGTGAGGATGTCTCAGGCGGGGCGCTGGTTTCAGCACCCCTACGGGGAGCCGCCAGGGGTGTTCTCACGGGCCCGTTCGCGGCCAGTTTGTGGGGATGTCGCAGGCGGTTTCCTCGTATGCCCAACATCCTTTGCTTTCAGAGCAGATTGTGAGGATGTCTCAGGCGGGGCGCTGGTTTCAGCATCCCTAAGGGAGCCGCCAGGGGGTAGGACGCTCATGAACAGACGCTCACGATGGCACGACATAGAACATGAGATGCACACATATTTGAGCTCCACGCAGTGAGTGTGTTATGCTGTTTGATGTATGTCTCGTCCAACATCCGCCGGTGGGAGGACGTGCCCCGACCTAGCGCCAGAGGCGGGGGCCTTCCCACGCCAGCTTCGGCGCGAGAGAGCGAGCGCTGCGCGCTCTCTCTCCCTGCCGAGAAGCGGGGGCGCCCCCCCGCGAGGGCGCGCGGGGGGGGCTTGCGCGCTTCTCGCGGCTTTCGGCGCCCATGGTCCTCCGCGTCCTGCTCCTTCTTTCCTTGGAGGGGGGGGAGGCGGCGCGAGAGCGCGATTCCCCCCGTGACGCCTCCCTCGATTCTTCCCTCGATTCCTCCCTCGATTCCTCCTCGATGCCTCCCTCGATTCCTCCCTCGATTCCCTCCCCTGGGGGGCGGCGCGAGAGCGCGAAGTTATTCTCGCGCTTCGCGCAGCGCGAATGCGCGAAGATGGGCGCTCGTGACACCACGATGGTGAGATCGAGCTCTTCGTCGAGGAGGCCGTCGGGGATGCCACCGGTGTGGGGCCCGAGTGCTCCTCTTCGTTCACGCGCTACAGTCAACACGGGGAGTGAAGACGAGCGAATCCCACCAGCCTTGTCGGGCGTAGAAAGTCTAAAGGACTTTCTCCTCCAACCCCCTTCCTCCCGTTCGGGGAGGGCTTCGTCATTGCTCCCTATTAATATACACACCCTCCCCAGGTGGCCGGCAGCCAACCAGGAACAATGAGGACACCATGAGGGTCTCCCCCTCCATCCGTGTGAAAGTAAACCATACAAATTACATGTTGGGCAAAGTCTGGAGTCAAATGTCATGAGGCCCGCGAGCACTTTGTACTGGTGATTGACAGGGACGGCGGGGGTGTCAGCATATTGCCTGCTGCGCGCAGGGCTACCATCGCTACCAAAAAACAATACAAAAGGCACCTCGCGGCCAAATCTGGACCCTGCGCGGCCACCCCGCGATCACTGCCAAGTGGTGGCGGATGGCCTGCTGTGCGCATGCCAAACAGACACAATGATGGGCATTGGTTTTCGACGTGGATGGTGGGGGCCGACACGTTTCCTGATGTGTGCTGTCACGTGCGCAGCTGCACCTGACACACTCTGCACGTGCCCCGAACGTTGAGCACCTGGCGCGGCTGGAGTATGCGGCACACCTGGCACACGCGGTGGCACGTGGCGCGTCTGGCGCACCAGGCGTGCTTGGCACGCTCGAGCCCAAGAGGTGCCTGGCGCGCCTGGCACGCGTGGCGCACCTCGCCCAAGCGTCGCGCACATGGGCTCGGTTTTGGTTCCCAGTAGCTGCCCATCCAAAGACGGCCGTTGAAAATGGTGAGGTTCGAATGTCACCTATGTGTGGAGAGGGCGGATGGGAGTGAGCAAGACGGCTTGCGGGCGGGTGGGTAGCTTGATCAGTGTTCCCTATTAGTATACACCCCATCCCCCAAGCGACCGGCAGCCAATCAGGAGCCATGCTCACCCCTACCCTCCATCATTCTCCAAAAGCAATGCAAAACGCACTCTGCTCTACATTTGGAGCATGCGCGGCCAACCCGATGCGCTCATGGTCCCATGGGCGAAAGGGCCAACGCCGCGGTGCCGGGTGGCCTCGTGCTGGCCTCCATCGTCCTCCCCGCAGAGGGGGCGTTCGGGCAGGGAGGGGTTCGTCTTTTGGTGCCTCCAGGGGAGTTGCTGCATGCGGCGCAGCGGCCGTGCAGTCTCGGCTGGGACCAGAGCTGCACGCCCTCGGAGTTGGCCAATATAGGTTGGCTTGGTACGACCCAGGGCAGCACCATGGCGGGGGCCATGAGATATCCCCGGCATGCATGGCCCCTCTTCTCTTCGGGAAGAGTTTGGACAGGTACGAATCGTTCAAGATCCTACCATCCTGAAACATCCCCCTATCCCCATGATCGGCATCACCTTCTCGGAATGCCGATCTCAAGGATTCCCTCAGCTTCTGATGGCGCATCCCCAAGATTGTCGTCGCCTCGGGTTTGGTCAGCCCTAGGGAGGGATACGCTCGAGGCTGGCTATCCTCTTTGTGCAATGCTCCCCCCACGTCCCCCGAAACGAAAACATACAAGGCTCCCCCCTGCACGCGAGAACCCTCCTTTGTGAACGCCCCCCGCTCCGTGCGCCCACGGAGTATCAGGAGGAGGAGGAGGAGGAGGAGGAGGAGGAGGAGGAGGAGAAGGCAGCGAAGGGCGAGGATGAGGAGGAGGAGGAGGAGGAGGAGGAGGAGAAGGAGGCGCAGGAGGTTCGAGAGTGGAGATTCTCGGGCGCTCTTGCTTCCTGGACCTCCGTGGCCTTCTCGCCGTCGTGGGCGGATCCGCCCCGAGACGCTGGCCAGATTGCCCCCCCCCAGGACGGCCTACCTTCATGATGTTCCAACCTACTGTAGCATTGATCACCAGAACGACTTTCGAGCCCCAAGAAAGTACCAAAACTCCAGGGTTTTCACGTGCCGGGCCCTGGGAGACACTCGTCCGACACTTTTTTCGACACTATTTCGACACTGTTTCGACACTTTTCTGGGTGCTCGAAATTATTTCTGGGATGTGATCTTTAAGTACGATGGGAGCAACATAAGCCTACCCCCGAACTCGTACCTCCACCGTCCCGAGCAGGACGTGACGGAGGTCATTCGTCACTTTCGACCTACAGCAGCAGTTTTCGAAGCCGCTCTGGTATCTCAGGACCAGCAAGCAACGATCAGGCACAGGGGGCGAGAGTTCTGGGGCTGTCGCATATATGGAACAGACACGGAGGAGGGGCCTCGATCCTCCATCGTCGAGGTTCAAGGAGCGAGGTTTCCGTTCGAAATTTGCTTCTGGAGGCATCAGGAGGTTTTCAGAGGCCTTGGTGGACATCCAGATCCGCCAGGGACTTCACCGGACCTCGTCCTGCAACTCTACCCTCTCTTCCTCCCCCTCCCTTGTCGTCCCCTCCCTTCGCCCCCCGCCCTCCTTTTCCTCATCCTACTCTTCCTCGGGGGATCTGGTCTACAGTGCCGCTTTTAGTACATGCTCCGCGTGCGGATCATGTATAAAAAATGCAAGGATTTATTATTAGAACAACGATGAGTTCATGCATAAATTGATTCATACATTAATCATGCATTAAAATCCTATATGTGTTTAAATCCGATGTATTAGAAACTGCCCTGTAGGCTCTTGCGCGCCCACCTTTGGCGTTTTCCAGCTTGGTTTGTCCTCCCCCTCCTCCCCCATTTGTCCGCCCGCCCTCCGTGGTTCCACAATGTCCGGCGACGCGCACACCTGGAACCATGCCGCCTCTCCGGGTGTCACTTTGTTGGTCGGGTCTCGGCTTATGTCGGGCGTGTCCCCTTACAGGGGGGATTTTCGACGAAAATGTTTGGGGTATTGTTGGTGTATTTGTTTTACATTGTTCGTCGAAACTCCCCCTGTAGGGGGACAGGCCCGACTTAAGTCTCGGCCTTGCCTTGTGACAGATCCAGGATTGCCCCTCGTGGTCCCCTCATACGTCGGAGATCGTGGGGACGTCTTCTGGGGTCGTCGTGGCTCCGTAGGGTACCGTCCTGTCGCCTCGAGTCGACCCAGCTTGTAGGCACGTTCATGGCTTGATCAGGCTCGCCGCTCCAGAGGCATTTGGCATTCAATTCGTTGCTCTGCCCAGTGATGGTTTTGGTATAGCTGTATTGCATAGTGCTTCCAGCTCTCCCCAGAGGCATCGGTCGGAGCTTGCGTTGATTGTCTGTCTGTCTGTCCTCCCTGTCCTCCTCATATCATTCCCCATACCGGTCGTCCTCCGTCGCGTCCTCCCCCCTTCCCCCTTTCTCTCGCCGCCCTCTCCCTCCCCGCGATGCTGTCGACACCGACGCCAACGACGACGCCCTCGACGACGTCGATCACGTTGACGGCAGCGGCGACGACGGTGACGTTGGCGACGACGATTTCGGCGGCGACGCCCTCGACGGCGACGGCGACGGCGACGCCCTCGACGACGGCGACGGTGACGATGACGGGTGCCGTCGGCGGCGGGGGACAGCACGCCAGGCGCAGCGGCACCGCGCTGCAGTGGGCCTCCGACGAGCTCCGCGGGGACCGCGGCGTCGTGCTGCAGGCCGTCGGCGGGCGGGCCGGTGCAGTCGGCGTCGTCGTTCCGACGCCGTCCGCGACGTCGCCGTCGGGCGTCGACGTCCTCCTGGTGCCGTCGCCGCCGACGGCGTCGAGCGTTGAGCGTTGAGCGTCGAGCGTCGGCGTCGTCGTTCGGGAGCCGGGCGAAGGTTGGCAAACCCGTGGCTGCTCAAGCGGAGCTCCGAGAAGTTGATGCTTCTTTCCGGGGAGCAGCCCGTTTACGATATTTAGTGCGTTGAGTTTTCTTCCGGGGATTTGCCCCTTTGTTCCGGGAAGACAGTTTTCGCAGCCACGGACGTGCCAGCCTTCGCCCAGCTTCCGAGTCGTGCCGACGACGTCGGCGACGTCGCCGTCGGGCGTCGACGTCCTCCACGACGCCGTCGCCGCCGACGGCGTCGTCGTCGAGCGTCGAGTGTGGACGTCGTCGGCGACGTCGCCGTCGCCGCCGTAGGACGAGGGAGGAGGGGTGCGGTCAGGAGTCTGGCGGGAGGGGCCGGGAGCAGGAGGAGGAGAAGGAGGAGCAGGAGGATGAGGAGGAGTGGAGTTGGGGATGATGAGCAGGAGGAGGAAAAGGAGGAGGAGGAGGAGGAGGAGGAGGAGGGATCGTATCGGATTGGAGAAACAGACTCATCGTCAGTTTGAGTGGGACAAAAACAATGCAGCAGAGGGAGGCAAATGCCTGCAACAGCTGTACTGATCTACGGGAGAGAAAGATCCGATGGGTCCCGGCTAGCTCGCAGCAGTAGGCAAGCAGACAGAGTACCGAAATTGGGAGATTTGCCATTCAAAGCCCACCGAAGAGCGATGCCAGAAAAGATGGACCATGCACAAAAACGATGCTCCCGACGTCAGAGAGAATGTACATATCAGACGCTGGGTCCTGGCTAGCTCACAACCTGTCGGTAAGCAGACAGAATACCGGCCACGTCAGTCTAGCAATTCTACGCCCTTCAAAGAGCGAGGCCAGAAAGGTGGACCGTTCAAACCAGCATGGGAGCGAAGGAGAAGCAGAAAGGAGGAAGCAGGCAGAAAGCGGGCGAAGGGGGGCGACACACGACCAGAGATCTTGATGGGAGGCAGCACGTGCAGCAACCAGCGATTGAGTTGCACTGTACGGGCCAAAGTGGCTGTTATGCATCAAGTGCCGTGGCTCACGAGCTTTGATGGTGACCGCCCATGGGCGATTCTGCCACCCATGGGCGTCGTCCACGTAGGCGAACGCCAGTTCCATGAAGATGCCCAGCACAACATTTCACTCCGCCGTTTGTTTGAGCTTGGAAGCCGCTGCTTGTACCAGGAACGCGCTGCCGTATCAGAAGGGGTGGTCCTCGCAGGTGCCCCGCAGCCCCAGGAAGATGGTTGGCACCTCGTGGCAGTGCACCAAGTAGTTCAGCTGGGACGCGGCCACGTGCGCCAGGGATGCGTTGCAGTAGAGGAGTGGGTTGTCCTCGTAAGCGAAAGGCAGTCCCGTGAAGGTGCTCAGCGCCTCGTAGCATTTCGCCGTATGGTTGAGCTTGGAGGCCGCCGCCTGCGCCAGGGACGCGCTGCCGTAGCAGAAGGGGCAGTCCTCGTAGCTGACCCGAGGCCCCGTGAGGATGCTTGACACGTTGGAGCATTCCGCCGTGCAGTTAGAGCTGGGACGCAGCCGCCTGAGCCAGTGTGACGCGCTGCAGTAGCGGAAGAGGCCGTCATCGTGGACGCACGGCAGCCCCGTGGCGATGCCCACCGTGTCGTAGCAGTCCATTTGTCTGGTTGAGCGTGGAGGCCGTGGCCTGCGCAAGGGCCGCGCTGCCGCAGCGCAAGGGAGATCCCTCGCAGGTGATGCTCCCTGCTCCCCGCAGCACCCCGCCGCATGGTTGAGTCTGGACGCCGTCGCTTGCGCCAGGGGCGCGCTGCGGTAGCGGAAGGGGTAGTCCTCGAAGGCGAGCGTCATCGGCAGGACAAAGAGGCTGGCCCCCGTAGGCGAGTGTCAGCCTTTCGACGATGTGCTGCTCCTCGTAGTACTCCACTGTATGGCCAAGGGCCCCCTCGAGGGCGCGAAGTTGTTCGCGCTTCGCGGTTCGGCGCCGATTCCTCCTCATCTTCCCTTTCTCCCCTGGGAGGCGGCGCGAGAGCGCGAAGTTATTCGCGCTTCGCGCAGCGCGAAGCGCCAAGTTGGGAGCCCTTGATGACTGAGCTCGGACGCAGCAGCCTGCGCCATGGACGCGCTGCAGCAGCAGAGGAGGTGCTCCTGCACGGCCGCGCACGCGAAAGGGGTCGCAGCGCCCGGGGACCCGGCGCGCCTAGGGGCTCCCGCCGAGGAGTCACAGTGTGCCGAGAGGCTGCAAGATGGGTGCGACTACGGCTCGAGGCTGAGGAGGAGGAGGAGGAGGAGGAGGAGGAGGAGGAGGAAGAGGAGGAGGAGGAGGAGGAAGAGGAGGAGAGGGGTCCGGTGGAGAAGAAGGGGGAGGAGCACCAGGTCGAAGGTGAGGCGAGGGGGAGGAGGAGGAGGAGGAGCAGCAGAAGTGGGCAATAGGCGCATAAGCAGGAAGAGCAGGAGGAGGAGCAGGAGGAGGAGGACGAGGAGGAGGAGGAGGAGGAGGAAGAGGAAGGGCAACATACGCAGAAGCAGGAGCGGGCAGCATGAGGAGGACAGAGAGGGGGACGAGGAGGAGGAGGACTAGGAGGAGGAGGAGGACGACGACGACGAGTAAAACCAGGATGAGGAGGAGGAGGAGGACGAGGACGAGGACGACAAGGTTCAAGACAATTCGGGCGATGACTGTGAGGAGGAGGAGGAGACTGAGGACCAGGAATAGGAAGACGAGGACGAGCATCATGATGTGGAGGACGAGAAGATGATACAATTGGGCAGCACCTTTTCCTGGTCACCTCGCAGGCGCGTTCGCAATCCATTTGTTTTCTCTGCCTTAGTACTTTCCGTCCCTGCCTCCTTCCCTCGAAGACAAAAGAACAGCATAAGCATACTTTCTCTGGGGTCCGCGCGGGTTTCATGGATCGTCGTTCGCCCTCCCTGGCGGCGCCCCTCCGCGCGCCATGGAGAGGGACAGCACCGATCCAAGACATCCGCGCGGTCCTCGGAGAAATTATGGTTACGTCGTTTGTTCCACGGGGCATTCCGTCGTTTGTTTCTCAAGCTCTCCTCGTGCACGCAGGTTCCCTTGCTTGCACCCCAGCAATGGATCCTCGCTCCTGAAGCTTGACCGTATTGCCCATCCCTGGGGAGACCAAAAGGTACCGATCCCGCTGCTCCCCGCACCTCTCCGGGGGGATGCACAGCATGAGTTGAGCATTGGGGCTGGATGCACAGCAGGAGCTGTGCATGGGGGCCGGATGCACAGCAGGAGCTGTGCATGGGGGCTGCATTATGAGCAGAACCTCAGGGCTCATCCAGCGGTGGCGACGAGGAGGAGGACGAGGAGGAGGAGGAGGAGGAGGACGAGGAGGAGGAGGAGGAGGAGGAGAAGGAGGAGGAGGAGGAGGAGGAGGAGGAGGAGGAGGCGGGATGCTGCAAGGATTGTGGTAGCATCCAGCGGTGGCGACGAGGGCCTCCCAGGGGACCGAGAAAGGGGCAAACGGGCGACGGGTAGCAGCACGGGTGCTGGTTCCGCCTCGGAATGCCTCCCGCCCTCCCTCTCCCGCATGCTACCACAGTCCTTGCAGCACCCCGCCTCCTTCTCCTCCACCTCCTCCTCCTCTTCCTCCTCCTCCTCCTCCTCCTCCTCCTCCTCCTCCTCCTCCTCCTCCTTCTCCTCCTCCTCCTCCTCCTCCTCCTCCTCCTCCTCCTCCTCCTTCCCCCCTCCTCATCTTCCTCCTCCCCCTCGCCCTCCTCGTTCCCCTCCTCCTCAGCCTGTGGCTCCCCCCCCTGCCAGAGAGGCAGTCGGGCAGAACCCCGGGGCGCTCCGCTTCGCGACCGACGCCGTGCGGGCCGACGAGGAGGTCGTGCTGAAGGTCCAGGGTGAGGAGGAGGGCGGCGAGGGGGAGGAGGAGGAGGACGAGAAGGAGGACGAGGAAGAGGAGGATAAGGAGGAGGAGGAGGAGGAGGAGGAGGAGGAGGAGGAGGAGGAGGAGGGAGGAGGAGGAGGAGGAGTACAAGGTGGAGGAGGAGGAGGAGGAAGAGGAGGAGGAGGAGGTGCATGAGGTGTGCAGCGAGGAGGAGGAGGAGGAGGAGGAGGAGGAGGAGGAGGAGGAGGAGGAGGAGGTGGATCCAGGCTGGAGCTGGCTGGGGATTCGCGGTGTCCAAGCCAGCAGGAAGAGGGGCGAGGTTCGATGTTTTGGGTTCGAGACGGTTGTTTGCCTCTTTCGGCCTCGGGGGGCCGTTTTCGAGCCAGGGGACCGCGAAAACTTGATCCGGAGCTAAAAACCGCATCAGATGGACCTTGGGAGGAGTCCGGGGACCGATTTTGAACGGATTTGGCCTTTTCCCCCCTTCTTGACCGATTTTCTCTTGGTCCATCCACTTCAGACCCCCTGGCCGCCTTCAGGGAGGAGGAGGAGGAGGAGGAGGAGGAGGAGGAGGAGGAGGAGGAGGAGGAGGAGGAGGAGGAGGTGGATCGAGGAAGCGCATCCGTGGATTGAGGCGCGTGGATTAGCAACAGGCCTTGCTTCCATCCAAAATCGGCGCGCTCCGTCGCCCGAGCAGACGGCGCTCGCCTCATATTTCGCGGGTGCATTCCCCGATCCGTGCTATAGTGTGCCTGAGAGGTGGATGGAGGAGGATTATCGACTAGCAGACCTACGCAATAGCAACTCATGAGCAGTCTCAGCAGGCTTCGAATCCACAACCCCTCATGGCAACCCAACTAAGCACCATCGACGGGCCAGGCTGTTGACTGAAGCAGTAGGAAGCAGGTTGACCACCAGACTCCCACCCACGGCGACGGCGACGGCGTCGACGACGGCGGCGGACGACGAAGCCAGAGACAATTGCGGCGACGATGGACGACGACGACGACGACGACGACGACGACGACGACGACGACGACGACGACGGCGACGACGACGATGACGGCGACGGCGACGGCGACGGCGACGGCGACGGCGGTTGCAACAGGCGACGGCCACGAGGGCACGGTGGCCGCCGGCGGGCGCGCAGGCCGTGAAGCGCAGCGGGGCCTCCATGTGTTTCGCGGCCGAGCACCTGCGGAGGCGGGGGCGGGCGCGGGAGGAAGAGGAGGGAGGTCTGGGCAACCGCCGGGCGCGCTGCCGCGAGGACCTTCGGCTGTGCCAGAGGCTCCGTCGGGGGGAGGGGGAGCCCCCGATGGGGCCACGAAGTGTGTGATGGGGTGCGCTGAACCGGGCGTGGTGCCCACATGCGAACGTGGCCACTGGGGCCTTCGGTAGAGCCCCCCTGTGGGGCCACGAAGCGTGTGAGAGGTGAGCCGAAACGGGCGTGACGCCCACATGCGAACGTGGCCACTGGGGCCTTAGGTCGAGCCCCCCGATGGGGCCACGAAGCGTGTGAGAGGTGAGCCGAAACGGGCGTGACGCCCACATGCGCCACATGCGCACGTGGCCACTGGGGCCTTAGGTGGAGCTCCCTGTGGGGCCACGAAGCGTGTGAGGGTTGCGCCGAAGCGAGCGTGACGCCCACATGCGAACGTGGCCACTGGGGCCTTAAGTGGAGCGCCCTGTGGGGCCACGATGCGTGTGAGAGGTGAGCCGAAACTGGCGTGACGCCCATATGTGAACGTGGCCACTGGGGCCTTCGGTGGAGCTCCTTAGGGGGTCACGAAACGCCTGCAGGGAGTTCGCCGAAATGGTTGACATGCGGGGTGCAGGGGCACGGGTGGGAGGAGGGGGAGGGGGAGTGGAGGGCGGGAGGAGGAGAGGAAGGAGGCGTGGGCCGTTGCCTCGTCCAGCCCTTGGGGTGGCAGCGTTTCGAGAGACGTTTATGCCATGCTACTGCCATCTGATGAGTCCTGTGCTCCTGTGTCCTCTTAGGGCGTCCTCCGTCCCCGCTGGCGATTGCAGGGTCTTGGTCTTCTCTGCCAGGTCCAACGGACGGGGCGGTCTCGTCGGCGAGGTAGCCGGCCTGCGTGCCCGCAGGGCTCGTTTCGACTCCTCCGATTCGACTCGATTCGATTCCGATGGCTTCCGATCCCGATTCGATTCGGCTTCGGATTCCGATTTGGGTTGCGATTTCTCGCAATGGAGGCCTACCATGTTGCCGATTCCTGCCGACTCCACCTTTTCCCGGCTCGGCCGCCGATTTCCGCCGATCCGCTTCGGTTCGGTCGCCGAGCCGACTTCTCGATTCGACTCCTGGTCGGGGTCGGCAAGGAGGGGGGGGATGACTAGGGGTGTGTGTGGATATCATGGCGGGGGCCATGACATTTCCCTCGCCCCTGGCCCCCCCGCTGGGCCGCGCACATGCCGCCGGTCACGATCAGCACTCCCCCCTCTTGGACACCCCCCTTTTTGGCCGCTCCCGATCCGGGGGCGCCCGTGCCCGCCCGGAGCCTCGTCCGAGCAGAGGGAGCAGCAGGCGCGCACGGCCGCAGGCGGGCTCGTCGCCTTCCTCCTCCTCCTCCTCCTCCTCCTCCTCCTCCTCCTCCTCCTCCTCCTCCTCCTCCTCCTCCTGTCGCTCTCCGTCGTGTCTCGCCCATCGGCTCGAGCGGCGGCGCAGCGCCTCGGCGTGCCCGTGGGCCCACCTGGAGGCTGTTCTGAGGATCTGCTCTGTGGTTTGCACGACAGTGTCTCAGAACACGGGGCCTCCTCCTCCTCCTCCTCCCTCCTCCCTCCTCCTCCTCCTCCTTCTCCTCCCCTCCTCCTCCTCCTCCTCTCTCCTTCCTCCTCCTCCTCCTCCTCCTCCTCCTCTCCTCCTCCGCCTCCTCCTCCTCCTCGTCCTCCACCTCCTCCTCCTCCTCCTCCTATCCCTCCTCCCTCCTCCTCCTCCTCCTCCTCCTCCTCTCCTCCCTCCTCTTTGTCCTCCTCCTCCTCCTCCTCCTCCTCGGTTTCCTCATTGGGAGGGGGGGCTTCTGGAGCTTCTCAGAAGCCCTTGGGATACGTAGGGGCCGGCTCTCTCGAAGAACCCTGCCCCTGCACGGCCTGGTTGTGTCACGACGGCTGGACGTTCTAGGAGCAGTGTCTCGGCGTCACCCCAACATACTTATAATATGTGTGAGTCGCCCCCCCGGGGGCGATGCGCGCACCGAGAAATCTTATATTATATGCGTCGTGGCGGGCGGTTTCTGGCCACACCGCTCGGGAAACGATATACTACAAGACGGGTATACTATATGTTTGGGTCGGACGCGCGCCTCCAAGGAGAACATATAGTACTAGTATGTCTTTGTGCGTCCCATTGTCTTCGTCAGTAGAACATGCTGTTGTTCTAGAGAAAGTCGTGGTAAGCCTACAGGGATGCCGGGAGGGTCGGTCCCTGCTCAATCGCTCGCATCCACATTGTTCTTTCGCTGTTCCCTCCTCAAAGTGGTGGAGGTACGAGTTGAAGAAATTCGCGGCCATATTTGCCATAGTGAGAGCGCCCCTTGCCTCATCCACCATCCTCGCCGTCGGTAGCAACCCACGAGCCTTGAATGTCCTCGCAATTCTGTATTTGGAGTGCGCTAGCGTGCTCTATCGTCTGGTAAGCAATGAGAAGGCGCCGATCTAGCGTCAGTTTAGCGTCGATGAGCGTTGATTCGCGTCGGTCAGCGTCGATTCGCGAGAGCCAGCAAGATGACATGGGAGGCTTCCACGAGTCGCCACAGAACTCGCACTCATTTCCACTTCAATCCCGTCGTCCCCCGCATGGTCCCCTCCCTCCTACTACAGTGGGGGGCCATGCCAAGAAACGCCATGCTTGCCTCCAGGATGCCCCGGGTTCCTTGGGTTTCCATTATTTTGCCATGGAGAGCGTGGCGTTCCCACGCCGATAATACATGGACGCCCTGGGGTCTCAGGGTTGGGTTACTTGTGGATGGTTTCTTCTGGACGAGCCTCCACTGTAGCATCCTCGTTCCTGCCATCCTCCGTCGACTCTCATTTTTCACACAGACGTCCGGCGGGCTTGGGAGCGCAGGGACCACAATTTTGTCCTGAAGGCGCCTGGGCGGGGCAGGGAGGGATCCAGGAGGACCAGGAGGAGGAGCGTGCGGAAGAGGACGAGGCGGAGCTGGACGAGGGGCAGAGGGGCGGAAAAAAGGGCGAGACGGAGGAGGAGGGCGGAGGAGGAGGAGGAGCAGGAGGAGGAGAAGGAGACGGGAGGAGGGAGGAGGAGGAGGAATAGGAGGGGGAGGAGGAGGAGGGGAGGAGGAGGAGGGAGGAGGAGGAGGAGGAGAGGAGGAGGAGGAGGAGGAAGAGGAGAAGGAGGAGGGAGGGACGAGGAGGTGGACGAGGGAGGAGGAGTGAGACGGAGGAAAGGGGGGACGAGAGGGCATCAGCGCGGGAGCAAGGGGGGAGGGCCGAGGGAGCCCGAGGTTTCTGAGTGCTCGTGCACCCTGCTCCTAGGGCCTGCCCTGCGGAGACCGCGGGAGGGGCCGGGAGGGGGAGGATGGGGGCCTAGGCTCTTGGGCTCCCTCGGCCCTCCTCCCTCTCCTCCCTCAGCCCCTCTCCCCCCCTTGCTCGCGCTGATGCCCTCTCGTCCCCCCCTTTCCTCCGTCTCACTCCTCCTCCTCGTCCACCTCCTCGTCCCTCCTCCTCCTCCTCTCTTCTCCTCCTTCCTCCTCCTCCTCCTCCCTTCTCCTCCTCCTCCTCCTCCCTCCTCCTCCTCCTCCTGTCCCTCTCTCCCTGGGACCTCCAGTGGTCTCCCGAGGAGCTCCGTGGACCCCCGCCGTGCCCCAACGGGGGGTCCGTTCCCGAGCCCCGTGGCCGCGCTTCCCGCCCCGCTCTCGGGGGCCCCCGGGCGGTGCGTCGACGACAACGCGTGGTGAGTCGGCGGGGATTCCAGTTTTTCGCGCGCCTTCGTAGGCACTTGGGGGTGCTCTTCAAGGGAGCCCTCGAGGGCGCGAAGTTTTCTCGCGCTTCGCGGCGCGGCTCCGATTCCTCATCCCCCTCTTCTCCCCTGGGGGGCGGCGCGAGGGCGCGAAGTTCTGCACGTCGCGCGTCGCGCCGCGCGGAGCGCGAAGTGGTGAGCCGCTGCTCTCTCCCGAGGGTGCGCTCCAGCAGCTGCGCCCTGCCCAGAGCGTTCGGGAGGTGCCCGGCTCGTCTCGAGGGGCCGTCGGAGGCCCGACGTGTGGTCCGAGAGCCAGACGGCGAGGACCACACCTCGTGGTGAGTCCGTGGGCTCTTGCAGGCTCGATGCATGCTGTGTCTTCCAAGAGGCCATGGCGTTCGCCGCCGGTCAGCAAGGCTTGGAACGATGTCGGGGGCCTCGAGACGGGGGTCGATGCAAGCGGGGGTCAGCCAGAGCGCCCGATCTTGCAGGATCCTGCAGGGCCACGGTCGCATTGACCGGGGCTCGGGCGCAAGATCCTGCGGATCCTTCCCATTGACCCGGGTTTGGGTGCAGGATCTTGCAGGATTTCGCAGGATTTTGAAAGGCCTGATTGACCCGGGTCTGGATTGACCCGGGTCAGAAGCTCCCCGACGATTGCCAGCAGAGATGGTTGCTTCGTGCGTTCGATCCATACCCCTGCTGATGCCCCCAGCTCTGGGCGTCTGGGAAGCAGGGCCTGGATGAAAAACGTGGCTCCGGAGGCCAGAATCTTATCCGTGCCGCAGTTCTGGCCTTCAATGGGTTCGGGGTGGGAGCAGGGGCAAGAATAAAATGTCGATCGCCTGCGCGACTCGTGAAGGATGCCTTCAGGATCCCTGACGGATTCGTAGGCTCTTCGGCAGGATTCTTGGATGATTCGTGAGGACTCCTCAGGATTGGTTACTCCCCCCCCCTGGAGGAGTCCTTGAATTGATTGCGGTGCTAACGAGATCGCTCGGCAGTGTCCCCCCCTCCGGAATGAATGCATCATTCTTGGTATTGTTTTTTGGGTGCTAGGGGTGATGGGGGTCGAATATGTCGGGTTGACCCAAAAGGGGGTCCAGCGACAAGGGGATGCTGCAATAGAGTTGGTCCAATAGATTAGTGGGGCTGCACTACATTTGTGGCGTGCAATACATTCCGGGGCGCAAATGTCTTGCTGGATTTTCGCGTGTAATACATTACTTGCAGTACAATGCAATTCAATTCTGCGGCGCAACCTATTGCACCACGCCCTTTCAGCTGGACCCCCTGCTTGGGTCGCCCAAAATATGGGTCCTCAGGGGTACAGTCGGCCTCGATTGGTAGGCCGACCCTGCCGAGTCCAGGGTACCCCTCTGTGTCCTGCCTCTTGATTGGCCCGTGCCTTGTACCTGCCTATGGCCACGTGGCCCTCGGAAGGCTCTCGTGCCCTCTCGCGTGTCCCCTCCACCCAAGCCTGGGCATCGCTCGGACGTGTTTTTTGTCGGCGAGAACTATCGAGGACCATCCTGAACCATCGAGCCAAAAAAACACGCACGAAACCGAAAAGTGCACGGGAAATGGACGTCCGAGCGATGGCAAGAAGCCCGACTGCACCCTCCGTGCTCCTCGGCCCGCGAAGGCCATCCGCCAGGACCCGCTCTGCCTGCAGTTCGCCGCGCAGGAGCTGCTCGCCGACGCGCGCCTCAACGAGGAGGCGGCCCTGCGCTCCGGGGGCGCGTCGGTGGAGGTGGCGCCGGCGGCGCTGCGCGGGGACCGCCAGTTCATGCTGGAGGCCTCAGGGGCATCGCCAGCTTGCGGTAGGGTCGTGCCGATCGTTCAAGGTTGAGTGATTCCTGGGGTGTCAGAGCCACCGCCAGGGTCGACACGACACGAACCTGCCGTATGCCTCCCAGATGGGGTCGGAGCAGACGGGGCCAGAGGATCGCGCCGCATCGTTGAGGCATCGGCAGTGCGGCTCGATGTGAAGCCCGAGTTCTTCCACGCCGACGGAGACGCCCGATTTCTCACACGCCGACGGCGGCGATGCATCTCCGATGCATCGCCGATGCGCTAGCGATGCGGCGCGATCCTCCGACTCAATCTAATCGGACCCCACCTAGGAGGCCTCCAGTGAGGGGAGGAGGAGGAGGAGGAGGAGGAGGAGGAGGAGGAGGAGGAGGAGGAGGAGGAGGAGGAGGAGGAGGAGGAGGCGGAGGGATGGAGAGATGGAGGAGATGGAGGAGGAGGAGGAGGAGGAGGAGGAGGAGGAGGAGGAGGAGGAGGGCGGACGAGGAGGAGGAGGAGGAGGAGGAGGTGTGCTGACGTCGTCTGCGTCGGTGCTCGGTTTTCTGCCAGCCTCGGGAGTTCTCTCAGGCAGCGGCGCCTCGCCGAGCGCGTCCCCCCGGGGCTGCCCCCCCTACCCACCCCGAGCGCCCCGGACGGCCGCGGCCGAGGCCCGGGGCTGTGGCCCGACAACCACCGGTGATGGGCTTCTTTTCCACCACCGCACACCACAAGTTGGAGAGGGGAAGGAGGTGGGGAGGGAGGGGGAGGGGGAGGGGGGAGGGGGAGGAGGAGGAGGAGGAGGAGGAGGAGGAGGAGGAGGAGGAGGAGGAGGAGGAGGAGGAGGAGGAGGAGGAGGAGGAGGAGGAGGAGGACCCCCTGCCCCTCCTAGTGGTGGCGGCGGTGCAAAACAAGCCCACCAACCAGGGACGGGGACCGGCTCAGGCTTCGGGGCTCCACAGGGGCGGGGGTTCAGTGCCAGCGGGGGTTCCGTCAGAGCGCCGGATGTCTTGCAGGATCCTGCAGAGCCACGGACGCATGGACCCAGATTGGGGTGCAAGAGGCTGCAGGAGCCTGCAGGCTCCTGCAGGGCCCGACTGGCCTGGGTCTGGATTGACCCGGGTGAGTAGATCCCCAAAGGGTGAGAACCGCATCGACCTCCATCGTGCGCACCTCGCCCAGGAAAATGCGGTCTCGATGTCGGGGATGCGTCGCCGATGCCAGGACGACGTTCCCCCCCCCCACCCATTCCTGAGCTGATCCCCGCCCATCTTTTCTGGGCGGCCAGAACGTTGCGGTGCCCGCAACGTGTGGTGAGTCAGTGGGGGTTCGAGGTCACCGCACGGTTTTGGGACGTGGATCGCTCTCCTCCAAGGATGTCTCGGGCGATTGGGGCCTTTAAGGTCCCACAGCCGTGCGGTGACCAACCGTGCGGTGAGGTTCTTCGGTATTTCGAGGTCAACGCGCAGTGTCACCACACGGTTGTGGGACCCCGAGTGTTTGCCCTTGAAGGGACAAGGGAAATGTTCGCCCAGGCGAAACCCGGCCTGGTTGATCTCGGCCTCGGCCGAGTTCAGCTTGGCCGAGCTCGGCTTTGCAGAGATCAGCCAGCCGAGTTCAGCCTGGTCGAGTGCGGCTGGCCGAGTCTTTGGACGCCCGAAGTGGGTACGGACAAAAGGGTAAGATGCCCAATAACCATTGTTGTCCGAAACGGACAGCGGCTGCAGTGGGGCAAGCGGCCTTCTGTCCCAAATGGACAACGTCCGCGGGCGGCGACACCGACAGCGAGTCCTGCTCAAAATGAACAAAACTGCGCCTAGTCTTTCCATACCCGACCTCGGTCATCCCGAGAGTTCAGCCTGGCCGAGCTTCTCCTGGCCGAGCTTCGTTGCTGCCCAAGTCCGCCGCGCGAAGAAGGGGGAGAGGGAAAGAGGGGAAGGCTCCCCAGAATGCAGGGCCAGCGCCTCCTGAGAAGCGGCCTCCTTCTAAGAAGCCTTCCCCTCTTCCCCCAGCCACAAGCCTGGCATCGCTCGGACGTGTGCGTCTTTTTCCTCGGCGAGGACCATCGAGGAGCATCCTTGATCATTTGGCGAAAAAGCCACTCACGAAACCGAAAAAAACACAGGAAATGGACGTCCGAGCGATGGCCAGTCTTCCCCCAGCCGCAAGGCTCACTACTCACCAGTCCACCCTTTCCCCAACCCGGAGGTCCCAGACCGCCCCTAACCGCGATCAGTCTTTAGTTTTGGATCCCCCCCCTGTCTCTCTTGGCGGGGGGCAAACTCGACCCTCGTCCTCCTCCTCCTCCTCCTCCTCCTTCTCCTCCTCTCTTCTCCTCCTCCTCCTCCAACTCCCCCCCTCCTCTTCCTGCTCCTGCTCCTTCTGCTCCTCCGCTCCTCCTCCTGCTGCTGCTGCTGGTGCTCCTCCTCCCCCTCCACGTCTTTCTTTTTCTCGTCCTCCTCCCCCCCTCCTCCTCGTCCTCCTCCCCCTCCACGTCTTTCTATTTCTCCTAGCTGCCGCCTCGGCTTGCAGGGTAGTGCAGCACACGAACGCCATGCAACCACATCGTATGGCTTACTACTTCCTCCCATCCGGGGTCCTCGGCCAGCGCTTTAGGATCTCGGGTTTCGCCGCCCATGGTGTGTAACCCTTTTCATGCTTGCGGTGATCGGCTATGTGACCTTACTTCAGACTTGCGTATTTTCGATTTGGAGGGCTTCCCAGGCACGCAGTTCCGAGAGCACGATCGTGAAATGTATCGGGTACAGCGATTAGGGGAGCGGCTCGCTGTTCATGCTGGCTGGAGGGCAGGAGGGTTCGTGACTCGATCCGCAACGTGCTCTGAGCTGTTTCCTAGGTTTTGGGCCCAACGCAACATGAGAAAAAAACGTATGCCCTTGGACCTTTTTTTTTCAAGGCCGTTTTTTAGCGGTGGAGTTGTCTCGGGTTGGATCTCTATACATGGCGATTATCTTACACTTCCACTTTGGCCGTCCAGAGCCCACCCGATCAAACATTTTCTTGCGTACTGTGGAAATTTCGAGGAGTGGGTCCGTAAGTGCGTGGAGGGCCTGCCAGCTCGGGCCCATCCTGTTCTCATGGGGGACACCAGCGACGGTCTGGACATCTCGAAATTCGCTGCTGGATAGGTTGAGGTCGACACCCCGAGTCTTGGGATGACCCGAAAGGAAGACAAAAACATCACCAAGGTGGGGCGGGGGAGTGCTTCAGAGAGATGCTGCGCGAGTTTGTCCTGCTTTCTCCGACTACGATCTGCACTTTCTGTCCACCCTTGTATGGTTTGACAAGGGGGTACGCACATCGATGATTGACCACGTCGCCCCACAATTCTATTCGCCCGAGCAAGTTGCATGTGCAAGACTGGTTCATCGACTGGGTAGGCGCCCCCAAGTGATTAAGTGCGCTATGCCCCCGGGACCAGATAGCTGTCCTTGTCAAAGTCCGTGCACCACATGTGTCGATGATTCATCGGCCTTGATAAACTGATGCAGGCCATCAAGGGCAGGCCTTTGATGGGAGCAGTACATGCGAGGTCGAGCAGCAACTTGAGCAGGAGTGGTGCACAGTCGAACATGCCCGCCTTGACCCCAAGATTGTCTTGAATCGCCCCGATCACATTCTTCGATCTGCTGGTGCTGAAGTGTTCCAGAAAGGGTCTCCAGCGGGGTCCACGCGCTCTGATCTCGCTCAGCAGCGACTTGCTTTACTTGCGAGGCTGCGTGATCTTCGGGGCTTGTTGGGCGATGGCATTCCTGATGCAGAGTATTTGAGCTGATGTGAGGAGTTGACTGGATTGACCTAGCAGCGCAAGGCTCTCCACAAAGCAGACCAGCGACAAAAGCGAGAACAAGTTGTGCATGTAATGTTGGTCTCTTGGCACTGTCGAGACTCGGCGAATGCGAGTCGATTGTCTCTTCGCCTGGCAGGCGGCAGGCGCGGCAAGGGCAAGCCGAGGCCAGGTCGTGCTGACGAGTCGAACGAGGCCAAGCGGTCTCGCGCCGCGGGTTCAGGACAGCCCTGGCCCGCCCGTCGCCGAGTTTCGCGGGAAGGGCGCCAAGAAGCAGCTGGGGCGCCACGACCACGTGGCCCGCCTCAGCCTGAGAACGGCCCCCGAGCAGGCTCTTTTTGAAGGCGGTGTTCTCGCGAGCTACCCCGCCCCCGAGCTGCGCTGGCTGTCGGAGGCTGGGATCGAAGCCAGCCCGATCTACGCCGGCGCCGTTGCCGGCCTGGAAGAGCAGAAGAAAGCGGGCGACAACGTCGATCTAGGCCAGATCGGCCCACTTTTCGCCGCAGCCCCCGTCGCGGCGATTGCGGCGGCGTGGAAGATGGCCCATGGCGCGGCCGCTGAGGCCGCGGGGAATTTCTAGGAGGCCCATGCGAGAGGCAAGCCAGTGGAGCACATCGGGCAGCACGCCGCGCACTGCTCGCACGAAGCTCCGAGGGGCGAGGGCGCCAGCGCCAAGATGAGAGGCAAGGCGAAGGTCCGGGCGCGCATCCAGCGCGGCGGGCCAGCAGGCGTCCAGCTTCACGACCTCCGCGGCCAGATCCTGTCAGAGGCGGGGGCCCAGCGGCTCGTCGGCCCCGCCCTGCACGCTCCTCTCGAGCGCACAAGGCCCCGGCTGCTCGGCAGGGGGGCGCAGCGAATAACGGCGGCAAGCATCGGGGGGCCTAACGAATTCGGAGTCTGAGTTTGGGCGCCGATGCCCCGCCTTCCCGCGCGCGCCCCAGAGCGTCGGTCCGCGGGGCCCTGAATTCGCGAGCGCCCTGCTAGAGGTGCCTGGCGCCCGCGGGCAACCCCGCGCGGCCCTGCGCGCCAGGGGGCGCGCCCCTGGGGCCAGCGGGGGCGACTCCGGCCAACGGGGGCGACCCCCCCCATCGAGGGTTTGGGCTTGCTGCGCCACGCCCCGCGCAGAGGCCGCGTTTTGTCTCCGTGGCCTAGGCGGGTCGCGCCAGACGCTTCTCGATCTGACTTGAACTGGCCCCTGGCGT